GAGATACTGGAAGATATCACAGATCAGCTTTAGTTCTTCTGTATTCCCATGCAGCATGAGAATACACCTTCTGCTGCATGAGAATACATCCAGAGAAGGTGAATTATATCTCAGTATGTTTTATTCTGTATTCCCAACAGCCACTAGGACACATCATAATGGCAGCAGAGGGGATTAAGCACTGAAGGTGACTTCTAGTAGGAGTACAGCACTCTGGTTGGGAATTTCTGAGTGACTGCCATACAAATGCTTTGAGACAATTCATGTCAGGCAGGTAGAAGAAGCCACCAATTGATAAATCTCTTGTAATAATTCTCCTGTGAAGATGATGAACAGGGAACCTCGGTGTGTAGTTCCAGCAGATGTTTGTGTTCAGGAAACAGATGTTGGAGCTAAGTCTAGGAAGAAGGTGAGATGTCTTGCTAAAACCATAGCCTTAAGTCCACTAGAAAATATGGGTAAAACTGGGCACCTCAGTACCATAAAACACCAAGTGAATGCCTCTTGAACCTGCCTGTAACAAATGCTGAAGACAAAGTGACATCTAAACAGTCTGGGTTTAGGCATCTTGCTCTGGGACCTTATTGGGGAGGCATCTCCTGGTTTGGATCCAAGCCCTGAACCCCTGCACTGAAAGGAACAACTCTAGTTCCTCTCTGACAGCATGTAGTAAATAGGTATTTATTCAGTATCTCAGTGGACACACGAGCTTCCCTAAATTATGGAAGATGTTGATTCGATCTCTACTGTATGTGAAAAGACCTCAAGTCTTACCTCCCTCTTACAAAAGACTTACAAAAGCAAGTTGCTCCTATCTTTTCCTGCTTAAGCTCCTTAGCTTTTTCCATGGAAGAATTAAATAATCATCAGGCCAGAGACAGAGAGCATCCAGAAGTAAATATCACTTTATATCCTACTGGTTAAGCACAGTCCTGCAAGTGGACAGACTGGGTCCAGTTTCTGCTTCAGTGAATACTTGACAATAATCATATGAAATAGTGTTTAAGGAGCACAAGAGACTATTTAGTCCATCCTCTGGTCCAGAGATACTTCCTGCAGCCCTCCAGTGATTGAAGCTGCCATAGTTTACTCAGTATATCACAGTGCATCACAGTCTTTTTGGACACCCCACTAAAGACCATTACTCCTAGTTTTATATATCATGGGCAGCAGGAACAGATTACTCCTATTTTCTTTCACTTGCCAGACTAGCATCTGGACTACTCTTGGCCTTATTCCTTTTAGGTTAAACAACTCTAATTATTTCAGTCTTTTCTCCTTTGACCTCAAGCAATTCTCAGTATCCCAGTCTACATCCTCTGACTGGACCACACCTCCTCAGAGTGCAGTACAAAACTAAGGCAGGACATTTCAGCTGAACACATCAGAGCTGAAGGCTCATGAGATGTGTCTGACAGCCTGTGCTTCCACTTGCACAGCCTGGTAAAATGGTGTTCCCCTTCTTGGCAACAGGATGATGTTCCAGCCTAACACTGAACTTGTGGTCCTCTACTGACCCTGTCTCCCCTCCTGGAGGACAGCCTGTGGTCTCCCACGCAGAAGTGGCTGCAATTCATTAATCATTCCCATGTAGAGCACTTCACACTCACTCTGAGGCTGTTCAAACCAGGTCCCTGGTTTGACAAGCTTTTCTTGAATTACAGCGGTTTCCCCCAGCTCACCACAGCTGGTTTATACCATCTGCAGATTTTATAAAACACTTCCTCTAGACAGTTATCCAGGTTAAAATTATAATATAAAGTACAATCTGTTTAAAGAAAATATGAAGCACTAGCAGGCCACAAGCTTGTGGCAGCCAGCTCAATAGTCTTCCGTTTCAACAGGAAATCAGTGAGAATTGCTCATTGAGTAAAATTATCTACACCAATTCTGCATCCCTGCTGTAATGCCTTCCTTTGGAACATGTTTCTTTGCTTCATTTATGATAAAAGACTGTGAGATAATGTCAAGATCCTTACAAATGACAAGGTATGACAACTGCTTCCTCTGTATCCACAAGGCTTGTTACAGAAGAAAGCTAAATTAGCTTGACGTGATCTGTTCTTGACAGATCTGTGCTGGCTCCTAATAATCTCCTTTATTTGATTATTTCCACCATTTTTTTTTTCTGCAGGAATGAAGTTAAACTGAGTAGTCTGCAATTTTTTATCTTCTGCATGTTTCCAGCCTTCTGACACCTCATCCAGCCCTCACGAGTCTTCAAAGCATCCAAAGCTTATGGTTCAGAGATTGCTTCCCTCACCTAGTAAATGAGCTAGGACGACTTGAAAGAACCATCTTACATGAGTACATCCTGATTTGTTCTGCTCTTTTCCTAGATCCTGATCTTGATCCTTTGTGGCTCCTCTTACTTCTTTTAGCCATCAACTTGCAGCTGATCACATTACTGATGACATGCAAAATGGGCATAAAATCCTTTGGCCTTATTGACAATGCCTGATGTAAAGCTTCAACCACAGCTCTCCCCTCCTCTCCATGAGTACCATAAACAGAGAGAGTCAGCATGATATTATTTCACTGTCTTGCTCTGGCTCAATTATTATTTTGTCTGTGTATTGAACTGAGGATCATCTAGGCATGTCAGTAAACATGCCTATGAATGTTATGGGAACTTTACAGCTCTAAGTGTAATTGTCTGAGGGCTTTAGGCACCTCCACACTTAGAAAGGAAGGAAGCTCTCAAGTTCTACAGCCTATGAGAGATACCTCTAAGAACATACTTCAGTTTAGAACAATCCCTTATTTCTCAGTTCAGAACAATGGTAAAATACTGAGAGATGCTTCAGACTCCTCTTGGCAGTCACACCCTGATTAAAAAGTAATTAAATTCTACAAGATAAGGCATTGTCTCATGGTATCTCTTCCTGATTTGTGGAATCATACCACTCAAAGTAACAAAACAATGAACATAAGTAAGAATTAACTGAACTTTAGAAGAAGATTTGATAAGAGCTCCTATGAGCCATTGGGGTAATTTTTCACTAATTTGTCTTTTTTTTTTTTTTTTTTTCATCTCCTACAGAGTTTTGTACAGTGGCATCATCATAATGGATAGTTCTTTTTGTCTTTTTGCTGCATATCCAGCTTTATCATAAAAGAGTGAGCTTCAAGTATTGTTTCATGTATTAACTTTGCTAACTATTCTCTGGAAGTTACCCAGCTTCTGTTTACTTCATGGAGATTTCAGCTGGCTTCAGTTCTTAAGTTATTTTGGGGGAAGATCTTTTTTTCCTTGCTCCATTTGTCCTTTCCTTAGGGTTTTATCTCTTCTAGCTGGTATTCTGAGTGGAATTTAGGATACAAGGGAAAGACCATTTTCCAGTGCTGCTGCTTCCAGGCAGGACTGGTCACATCCCTATCACAGTTCTGACTGCAATTTTAACAGTCAACATTAAACATCAATTTTCTGTTGGAGTTGTCAGTCCTCAGAACTCTATGTAGGGCTTCAAATTCTCTTGGGTTTTTAATGAGAAATTAAAATAGCAGGAAGGGTTAAATCCACAGTGTTTCATCTTTGATCAGGCAAAGCCTCCATTCTGACAGAATCATCTCAGCCTGTGCAATCCAGATTGGTGCAAGCTGCCAGTCTGACTTCCCCAACATAACAAGCTAAGAATTAAAATGTTAGCACTAGGTAAAGTGAAAGTTCACACTTATAAGGAACACAGTGAAGCGTCCCTGCTGGGGGCAAACTTTTGGTTCAGCTTCTAACAGCCCCTTTGCTTCAGTTCCCCATCATTCCAGTACTGTCTCCCAGCTTCGCAGGCACAGCCGAGCAGGTGATGCCCTCCTTGCATTTGCTCAGGGGCTGATTTCCAGCAGTGGGTTTCACTCTTACATGAAACCAAAGGGCTGCAATTTTACTGTCAGCAAATCAGCAACTGACACCTGTTTCTTTATGTCTACCCTTTCAAACCTAGATGATTTTTTGTTAAATTATTTATAAATCCACCACTGAATGCCTTAGTCTTACAGCTGTAAGCAGACAGAAGGTGGAATGATACAAGGAGAACAATGGTCAGCTCAAAACCATTGTGATTTACATCCTGCTGGTTTCAATCTGAATTAATATAAATGACTGGCCTCTTCTGCAAAAGAGCATAGCATTGTGCCATGGTGCCCAACCTGCACGCCCTGGAGTACTTAACATTGCAGATTTATAAGGTCATTGGATGCTGTTAATAAAATAAATGGATTAGACTCCACTCAACAGACTGATGAACTGAATGCTAATTGATGTCTTAAGTTATAAGAATAATCAGAACTGTAAATTATTTTGTTTATTACCAATTATTATAAATCATCCCAATTCATAAAATACCCTGAAGTTCCTGAAAGCACAGTAGGACTTCCAGGCAATTATGGGAAGGGTGGAATAAAACTACCTGCTGAGTGGGGTTCAGATCCAAGCACACTCCCCTGACCCCCTGAATTTTAGGGGCATTCAAGCCAAGTAAGTGAGATTCTTTTGGAGCCTTTTAGCTTTACTAATTACCAGCTCTTACAGAAAGGTGTATTCTCCAGAGAGAATGCCTAAATACTGTGAGATGTCCCAGCTTTCTATAAATAGAGATATACTGTGATTATGGCTGGAATTAATTCAAGAAATTTCAGATGCAAGATGAGTAATGAAGGGGACTGACACTTACTGGTCATAATTTAAGAGACTGTAAGTACATCCTGGCTTCCCTTTTGGGACGTAAATGGCAACCATCCCTGGTTGGCAGGTTCAGGACATCCTGTCTTGGGCCAACAAGAGGGCTGTAGCACAGCCTGCCACCCAACAGTAGCATTAGAAGCCAAGGGACAAGCCTGGAAGGAGCAGGAACCATCAGGAAAGCTGGCATTAGTTTGTACTGCATGCATTGCCCCTCTTGCAGCCATACCTTTCCCAGCCACTGCTGTGGCTGGGCAACCTTGTATCTAAGCCAACAGCAAGGTGAGAACTGAAGATGCACCACTTTTCTGTCTCTGTCTAGGGATGCTCATTTGTGTCAGCTGCAACTCTGCCCAAGTGGAGAACCGGGGCAGATACAAAAGCAGCTGGAGCACGAAGAAGGAACCCAGTTTTCCTTTGGATGCCGGTGCCAGGAAAGGTGAAGGGAGCCAGACCCTGGCAGTAGTGGCTGATGCTGCCAGCAGGAGCTCCCAAGAAGCACTGCTTTATGCAGGGCTGGGACCCAGCTAGGAGAGAGAAGGAGCAGCAGGAGGACTGCATGGTCAAGGGAGCAGGGAGAAGGCAAGGAGCAGAACAGATGGGGAGAGGAGACAGAATGAGTAACAGGCGGAGACAGCAGGAGCAGTGTAACTCCAAAAGCACAAATTCCTTTTGCTGTATTAAAAACAAATCACTATTTTCATTACACTATTCCTTCACCCCATAACACATATTGTAGGCTGGATCACTGGTGGTCAGGGAGGAGCTACCACTCTGGTGAATAGCAGGGAGAAAACTAAGTTCTAGCTCTACTCTCAGGCTCTGGTCCATTGTAATAAAGCCTGGGTCTGAGAAGAAAATCAATGGTTTGTGTTAAAGGAACTCAAGGGACTAAATAAGCATCCTAGCAGTGCAGGAGTGACTGAGGATGGATAAAGCAGAGCTTTGCCTGTCTAAAATATCTCTCACTTGAGGGCTTCTGAATCCCATTTTTTTTTCCCCACTCTAATTGTTTAGTTTCCAAATTAAAGAAGCATCTTGCAGAGATGGCCATAACAGTCAGAGAATGTATGCTTAGATCAAGAAAGCAGGTTAATAGCACCTCCAGAAAGAGAAACCAGCTCTCCCTAAACCAATTCCTCTATACTGGCCTGTGGTGCTCACAACCATGAAAAGCCATTGAGTTTTACACACGCACTCAGCAGGTGATAGAAAGAGCCCTAAGGAAATATAAACACCTTCTCCACATGAGGCCATCAGAGCTCTGAGGTTACATGTCACCTCCTGGTGTGCTCAGGAGGATCTTGGAATTATAGATTAAATGAATGTGGATGGATTCCTGACTTTGATTTTGGACTTCAGATGTTGAAAGGTGCTTCATCTGGGTACCTGCTCTGGTACTCCCCCAGCAAGATACTCTACCAGCAAGCATTTGCACCTTCCACCATGCCTTTCTGGATGACCAACCTCTTCTTATCAGCCCAACATTCCTCTGTGTAGAGCTACTGGGCTGTGGTTGTTTCTTTACAACACTGAACACTGGGATTTCAAAACTTAGATGCAAACAGGTAAGGACTGCTGCCAAACCTTCCCCTGATACCTGTCAGACTCCCAGCAAACAGGGGATTCACACAGTGACTTCCAAAGGGCATCAAAACAGAGAGCATCCATCAAAAGGTTTCTCATCCTCAGGTGTCTTTAGAGCACTATCATCAGAGATATTGTTCATTCTGAAATCAAAAAATGGCCCTCCTTGTGTAAGGAGGAAGCCCAAAGCTAAGCAATCACAAGTTGTTTATGTTCAGGAAGAGGACAACGGGAGGATTGTACAGAAGGAAGGAGGCATGGGCCAGCAGTGCATGCTCTGAGCAAATTACAGTCAGCAAGGCACCACCAGCCTTCCACAAGCATGCGGAGGCCTCAGCTTTTACAGCATGGTGCTAATAACACCAAGGTTGTGGGTTTCGTCCCATATGGACTCCACTTAAAAGCTGGACTCAGTGATCTTTGTGGGTGCCATCCAATTCAGAATATTCTGTGATTCTGGTGCTCTTGCTTCAAATTATCTCAGCCAAAAGCAGAAGCAACCTTCATGCTAGAGCTGCTGTTTTACTTGTCAATACACCAATTCCCTCAGCAGATACCTGCCTGCTTGGTAGAGATTAGGCAGAACCTACCTCTGCCCCATGTCCTCTACCATGGACAGCGCATGGAGCACACGAGCGCATGCCTCACAGCACAAGCACTGCAAATCCAAGCAGGAATACACATCCTTTATTTGCATCATTCAAGGCTATCAGCCTACCTTCATCTTGCAAGGGCCAATGGGCCTCGTTCACCTTCCCACTAGCACAAAAAGGTGTTGCAACTTGGCAGCTGCCAGTAGTGAGAAATTCCTGCTCTCTGGGAAATGGGGAGAGGGAAATATAATATCTATGCAGGATGATCCTGGGATGGCATCACAGAATCCAAATCAGATCATATTCTGAGTTCAAAGGGATCCACAAGGATCATCAAGTCCAGCACTTCAGTGAATGGCCCACCCAGGGGTTGATCCCACAGCCTTGTTAACAGCGCCATGCTCTAACCAACTGAGCTAATCTCAGGGTCCAGCACAGCTGGCCTGAAGTGAGAGTGGATTTGAGGTGAAAATTCTTTGCACTTTCTCCTTCTAGTCAGTCAAAGCCACATGACTGAAGGAGGGGTCCCTCTCATCCTCACATCCAAGTGTTGCCCACCCTCTCATCATGGCATGGACAGAGCCTGGAGCTACAGCTCATTTTCTTATCCTGAGGCAGGAGCAGCTCTGAGATCACTCAGGCAACCCCAGCATTAGGCCAGGACAAGTCCTCAGACAATACACAATGGTTCCTTGGGCTGAACACATGTTCCCAGCCTGGTATGGTCACACAGAAGGTTCAGTGCAGCCCTCTAGGCAGGGATGCCTCTGCATACCAGTGGGTACTGCCTGACTGGCTTTTGCTGGGACTCCGATTCAGGAGCAAGTGGCCAAAGACAATTCGGATCTGCAGATTGGTTTCTTTCCCACTAAGCACTACCGCTGTCCTTCTCCCACTGGAATCTCTGCCTGCAATTAGTTCCCTAGGAGGGGCTTGTCTGTGCCATTAAGAACAGTTACATTACATGATCTAGGAGAAATCAATGTCTTTAATAGTCAGCAAAGGCAGTGGAGGAGAGGGTGATGGGAGGGCTGTTTCTCTGGAGACACCTTTCTCAGAAGAATTCCCAGAGGTATTGCCCCAGGAAGAGAAATAGCAAGGACCTGGCATAATTAAACTTCCATGGAACAACTGTTTACTGGAAGAAGCACAGAAGCTGCTCAGTGTCTCTCAGAAAGGCAGAGGCAGTGGCTAGACTCTTCCCAAGGTGCAGATGAAGTGCCTCTGCCCTGAAGTCAGCAGTCTGTGGTGATTTACACCATGCTGGCAAATGGTGGCAGGAGGGGTGTGGATAGATATCTTTCCTTTAAAATACCCCTTTTCCTCTGTCCACAGTGGTTTAAAGGTAAGACCACGCCTTGCAAGTTTTTAAGCATCTGGATCGTGCAGTATAATTAAGTTATCCTAAATGAAGCCTGAGACATTTTCATATCCTGAGGCAAGGAAACCTCAACTCTGCGGGCATCTTCCTCTCTCTCTTTCTCCATTTCCTCCTTCTTGTACACCTCTGCAGTTCCTGGAATGACAAGCCACCTCACCGGCTGGCTGTAATTGCTGGAACTGTTCCCTAATGCTTTTGCCTTCTCCAATTGCATTAAACTGCATCTTTAGAGGTACAGCCCTGTTTATTCATGCTGCTCGTGTGGAGGGGGGAAGAAACGCAGACTGCCTCTTCTCCCCTCTCCCTCCTTTGATTTGATGGGTGTGGCAGGTTTAAACCTTTGCAGCCGCTGGCTCTCTGGCGCTGGGGTGAGGAGGAGAGGATGGAACGGGAGGGAAGCCGTCGTCTATGGCTGGTGACGAATGAGACTCATCTCACCCACAAGTGGGAAACCTGCTTGCGGGTTATTGTTTAATCACTCATGCAATCCAATACTGAGCACATACCCCCATCATGTCCATCTGTTCTAGCATGCAGGGCATGCAACACTTGCATTTCTAGCCAGCTATCTCACTGCCCAGCCCTGCGTGTTACTGACTGCATCTCTCGCTGGCAGGAAAGGTTGAGTTCAGGTTTTCAGCTATAGCTCGACCCAGCCTTTCAGCTATGCTACCTCTCAGCTGAATATTTTGTGGGCTCAGATTCAGAGCTGCAGTCAGCTGTAGGCAGAAATGACAACACTTAGCTATCTACATCTCTCATGGGCGGGCACAGTCAGTCAGTCAGTCAGTCAAATACTTCACTCTTCACACTGGCATCGCACCCACAAGAAAGAATAATCTGCAAGGTATGAGCGTGTGAACATATTTGTCTCTGAGGGGTGGGAGGACAGACACACACAGGCACACCTAGACACAAGTGAAGAGATTTCTTCCACGCCCAAGCCTGTAATTTCAACGTTTTGCTCTTTAGCTGCCAAAAAGGCGGGACACCAGGGACTTCCCCTGAAAAATAATTTGAGGAGAGCTATCTTTATTTTGGGAAGGAAACTCCTGCCCGTGCTGAAGAACCCATTCCATCTTTTTCACTCAGTGAAAGGTCTGGGTGGGGACAGGGGAAGAGCACACGCTGAGAAAACCGAGGTCTTTTTCTCCTCCCAGCCAGAGCTTTCTCCACCAGCGCACCATCAGCTTTCCCGAGCGAGCTGCCACATTTGGCGGTGCGCACTCAGGTGGAGGAGCGGCTCCGAGCCCACCGCCATCCACCAGCACGCTGAGGCGGCCACAGCCGTGCTGAGCGAGCTGTGTGAGCCGAGTGGCTGCGTGAGGCTGAGCAGAGGAGCATGTGGCGAGTGTGCCCGTGCCGTAGTAGCAGCGGGGCGAGCGCTCGCAGAGCGGGGCCGAGCGCTGCCCGGGTACGCGCAAAGGGGCGGGCGCCATGCGGCGCCTCCGTGCGCGGCGAGCGCGGCACCTGCGCGCCCAGAAANCTGGGAGGAACCGGGCGAGGAGGGGACCGGGCGGCTGGGGAGCCCCCAGCCCTGCTCCCACCGGAGCCACGGCCAGGAGTGGCATTTGTGCGTGAAGAAAGCAGAAATCTTTGCTTGGGTGGGGTGGGGTGAGCACGGAGGGGAGAAGAGGGAACGGAGGTACGGCCACGGCAGGCACTATATGCCATGCACAGGTGATGTACCGTAGGTGGGAGCTGCGGGCTAAACGGGAACTGCTAAATATGTTAAAATGGCTGTTAAAAATCCCTCTCCCCAGCACACTCGCGAACATATATGCACGTGCTGCCTTCTCCGTGTGTGCAGGCACAAACCCTGGATAGTGGTGTCCTGCACCACTGAACGGGACAACTTTCTCCCTTGTTCCCTCAGTCCATCCCACAGACCTTCCGCAGGTACAGAAAACGATACTCCCTCAATACTTCCTTTTTTTTTTTTTTTTTTTTTAACAGAATAGCTTGTGAACCCACAGAAATCATCCCTTTTCCTTCCCTATAGATCTCAATTAATTTCCGTGTCGGAGTCATTTCTACACCTATTGATCTCTGCCTGCAAATTGCTGTGAACTATTGCGAGGCAGATGTGCGTGTT